GGCCAAGGCAGGAGAAGGAAGGGAGGTGGAAGTTGCAGTGAGCCAAGAGGGCACCACTGCACTCCAGCATGAGTAACAGAGCAAGACCCTGTCTCAAACACACAAAAACGAAAAAAAAGAGATCCAATAAAAGGTTAAGCTAAAAGTAAGAATTAGCCCAGACAGCAAAGATCTTAGAGTATTTCCTAACTCTTTAACATTAATGCTCAACCAGGGGAGGAGGGTGGTAGCACTTCCAAGGTAAAAATCTTCGCAGGAGAAAGCCCATACATAACCTTACCAACAAAACTGCCATATGCCTCAGGTGTGATGGAACAGGGGAAAATGTTGAGAACCTCTGGTGTATTCTTGGGAGAGGAGCCATGATATGATTTGATTTGCATATTAAATAATTCTGGCAACAGAACAGAGGAGGAGAGACCAGAAAAAAGAGAGGCCAGTTGGAGGACTACAGTAACTATCTTCAAAAGGAGTAAGAGCTTCAGGGAGGGTAGGGGCAGAGGAAACAGGAAAGGAAAGAGTCAAGAGAAAGACTGATGGAAAAGACTTGTGGAAGCAAACCTGGTAAAAATCTGGTCAAGAAAGGAAACCTCTAAAGATTTCCAGGCTGGGTAACAAGCAGGACAAAAATGCTATAAAGCAAAATACCTTGTTACCTTATATCTGTGTAAGGATGTGCAGTACACAAAGCATAGCCACTTTAAATGTACTACAGAGCAAAAGGAGTAACTGTTCTCAGTTCACAAATGAAGACTGACTTCCAAGAGAGATTTAACAAACGTGTCCACGGCCAAGAACAAACCTGAGTCTTTCAAATCCAGTTCTAATATTCTTTTAAGAAGCCCTCTCAAACACAATCACTTTTGATGCATACAATAAATCTCCAAAAAAAAATTTTTTTTAAAGAAAAAACATGTAATCTCTTGGGAATTAAATTATACTTCAAATATAAGGAACTTTTTTTTTTTTTTTTGAGAGTCTTGCTCTGTCGCCAGGCTGGAGTCCAGTAGCACCATCTTCGCTCACTGCAACCTCTACTTCCCCGGTTCAAGAGATTCTCCTGCCTCAGCCTCCCAAGTAGCTGGGACTATAATCGTGCTCCACCACACCCAGATAATTTTTGCATTTTTAGTAGAGATGGGGTTTCACCATATTGGCCAGGATGGTCTCAATCTCTTGACCTCATGATCTGCCCACCTCGGCCTCCCAAAGTGCTGGAATTACAGGCGTGAGCCACTGTGCCCGGCCAATATAAGGAATATTTTGAACGTTGTGCTCTGGTTCCCCCTACCCAAAAAACGGGCCGATGACAATGCAGGCGCTGAATCTATGTCATTAGACCCTACAAGTTTAGATACAGATGGGAAAGATGACAGTTTTTACTTTGTATAAAATACCACTTATTATGTGATTATGTGAAAGGCCAAAAATACTGTAAAGAAATATTCTAAATAGTAACTACATTCAACATAGTAAAACTACATTTTCTAATGTTGTTGTTGGCAATGATGTTTATTAAAAATACTTCATCTGGGTCTTGTGCGGTGGCTCATGCTTGTAATCCCAGCACTTTGAGAGGTTGAGGTGGGAGGATTGTTTGAGCCCAGGAGTTTGAGATCAGCCTGGGCAACACAGGGAGACCCCCATTTCTATAAATAAAAATTGTTTTAATTAGCTGAGCATGGTGGTACATGCCTGTGGTCCCAGCTGCTCAGGAGGCTGAGGTGTGAGGATCACTTGAGCCTGGGAGGTTGAGGCTACAGTGAGCCGTGATCACACCACTGCACTCCAAGCCTGGGTAACAGAGCAAGATCCTGTCTCAAAAATAAACAAACAAAAAACTGCATGTGGAGACTTAACCCAGGGTCAGAAAACATAAAAATAAATATACTCTATAATATTAACATACTCTTTAAGATTGAGTGGGAGTGAGACAGGACATTCCAATAAGAGAAAAGAATATAAGCAAAGAAGGTCTGAAATAGCTTGGCATGTTCAGAGAACCAAGAGCAGTCTTGGTTTCACACTGGACAGTGTGGAAAGGGGACAAAGAGGACAAGATAAAGTACAGAGATGACTGGGGTCCAGACTGCGAGCAGCCTGCATTGTGATGCTGGTATCTCTGAATTCTAAGGTCCAAACCACAGGCAGTCTTAGAAGCTTGCTGAGCCAGAGGCTGACAAGATCTGAGCTCAGGAAAGATGATTCTGGCAGTCAGGCAAAGCATGGATAGCAAGGGGTGGGGAGGAGCCTGAAAACAAAGTTAAAAGCTTCCAGCCAAGCAAGCAATCTGAGGTTTTAACAATTACACTAGTCGAGTATTTTAAAAGGGTTGGAGTGTTGACGAAATTTCACATCTTCCCTCCTGTGATCATCCCAACTATTCTGTGAAACAGGTGTCATCAATCTTCCCATTTTACAGATGAGGAAACTAGCTCACAAGCCATTAACTGCCAAATCAAATGCTACAAAAATAAGGACAAAGCCCAGGCTCAGTACTTTTCCACACAATGAAAAATAAAGAACCAGAACAATCTAATTTCTTTTGAAGAGTGCTACCGTACAATAAAGCACAGAGCAGGCTAGCTATATTACCCTATATTATCACTGGAAGTGTTAAAAATTCATCTAATTGGCCGGTAATCCCGTAATCCCAGCACTTCGGGAGGCTGAGGCAGGCGGATCAGGAGGTCAGGAGATGGAGACCATCCTGGTTAACATGGTGAAACTCCCTCTCTACTAAGAATACAAAAAATGAGCCGGGTGTGGTGGCACGCACCTGTAGTCCCAGCGACTCGGGAGGCTGAAGCAGGAGACTCGCTTGTACCCGGGAGGCAGAGGTTGCAGTGAACCGAGATCGTGCCACTGCACTCCAGCCTGGGCGACAGAACGAGACTCTGTCTAAAAAGAAAAAATCATCTAATCTTCTTAAATGTTTGCAACTTGTAAAACGAGCTAATTATCCTTAAAACAGTTAGATTTGACTTACGTTAATGTCGTTAAAGAACTATACTTTTTCTTTAAAGCAAACAAAAAAGCACCTGCACTTTGAATTCTACTTCCCATGGACCTAAGTAATATTCTCCCCTCCCCTCAATGTTTAAAAACTGGCATATCACTGATGTAACGGGCTTACATAAAAACCATTACACCCAAAATGGAAGCCGTAAACTACTTTTTGATTAAAAATGCATTATTTGGAAAGTACAGCAACTGAATCTGAGTTATAAGATGTATTAATTGAAAGGAGCTTCTATAGGTATGCAAAGGCACAATTTAGGAAACAGGCTCCGTCATAAGGAAGCGACATGGAGATTCTGAGACCTATTTAAGAATGGTTCAATCCGAAATAACTGATGGAAGAATATCTGACCTTGAGGATGCAGTGACAGATTTCCCCCCTCCCCTCCCCCTGCCTTTAAATTCTAAGTCCATGAAATGGTCAAAGTGTTCTGGAACGGGTCTTATTTTGCACACGAAGAATCTACCTTGGGCATTTTGCTGTACAGTTTTATCCACAGCATCGCCTGTTATCAAAACTACTTGTCCCTACTCCCTCACAAGCTTTCTAACAGTTTTTAAAACAAGACCCGGAAATGTAAAATCCCTTCTTAGGAACTTGAGCAGTAAGTCAAAGTATCCAACCCAGGTAATTATTAGCAAGAACCACATTTATGTACTTTTTTCCAAAGAATCTCGCATGTCTCCTCTCTGCTGAATCTCCCTCCCGTTTTTAACTGCGTTAAGTCTTCATGGCTTGCCTATAGAAGACAAAAACAGAAAGGTGGCAAAAAAGAAATCAAGACAGTTCTGCCATGAATTAGGGGTCTGTACCAAGAGTTCGGCAGGTCCTGTCATCTGCGCACCACAAGATGCAAGCTGAATTCTAGGGCAACACGAAGCATTCCAACACGACACACACTGGTTTCTCCAGGGGGAAGAAGCAGAGCTCTAGAAATGCCGGCGGGAGACGCGTATTGTTGGAAAGGAGGCAGATCAGGCCCCGCAGCAACTCGGGGCGCTCCTTGCGCCGGGGTCTGCCGGGCGGCGCACGGGTGACCGTGGGCCTGTCACTCCTAGCTTCAGCTGTAACCTTCGCCAAACCTTGCGCCGCAAGGCCCCGCCCGCCAGGCCCGCCCCCCGCGCCGCGCCCCGCGCCATAGGCCGACGCGCCAGTCGCTCAGCCGGCCTCCCGGCCCCGCCCGCCTGCTGCCCTCCTCCCCCGCCCCGCGGTTTTCCCTTCCCGGGGCCCCAAAAGGACAATGCTGGAGGGGAGGGGAACGGAGGGGACGCGAGCGAGCGGCCCAGTCTGCCGGCCTGACCCCGCTGCCGGGGACGCCGGGCGCCTCCCGCCGGCCGAAGCCTTCCTCCCGCGCCCGCTTTCGGGGCTCCGCGTCCTATCCTCAAGTCTAAGCACCCCCGCCTCGTCTCCCTCAAAAGAGCCGCCCCGGCGCGGCGACACCTGCACCAGGCAGAAGGCAGCCGACGGCAACCCATTGTGCGGACTCATCGTCCGCTGCCCACCTGGGCGCACGAGCCGCAAGCCGGGGTCCCGGCGTCCTGGGGTCGAGGCGGGGGTCCCAGGGCCCACAGCTCACCCGCACGCCTGGGAACCACCAGGGTCGGAGCCGGTCAGGCCTCCCTCGGCTGACCCCGGAGCCATCAGCAGCGGCCCGGTCTCCCTTAGGCTGGCCCCGGAGCCATCAGCGGCGGCCCGACCTCCCTTAGGCTGCCCCCGGAGCCCCCGGCGGCGGCCCGGTCTCCCTCAGGCTGGTCCCGAAGCCATCGGCTGCGGCCCGGCCTCCCTTAGGCTGGTCCCGGAACCCCCGGTGGCGGCCCGGTCTCCCTCGGGCTGGCCCCGAAGCCTTCGGCGGCGGCCCGGCCTCCCTCGGGCTGGCCCCGGAGCCCCACGGCGGCGAGCGTCCGGCCTGCCTGGGCCCGCGCCCACCCGGCCGAGGGGCTGCCCCGCGCCCTCCCTCCCCGCCTCCTGCCCGCGGTACCTGCCGAGGCTGCCGGGCGGCGCGGCGGCCGGCGGGGGCGCCTCTCCTCTGGATCCGAGGGGCTGCGGGCGGCTGCCGAGCGCAGGGCGGCCCTGGCCTGCGCCTTACGTAAAGCGGCGGCGGCGGCGGCGGCGGCGGCCCCAGCGCCACTCGGCGGAGGGCGGGAGGAGGCGCGCCGGGAGCCGCTCCGCTCCGTTACCCGGCAACTGGCCTCAGCGCCCCGCCAACCAGGGGCGCGCTCCATATCCTTCCGCCCGGGTGCCGGGATTACATCAGCGCCGGCCGGGCCCCTCCCCTGCCCCTCCCTCCGGCTGGGCCGCGGGCGCGCGCGGGCGGTGGATCGCGGGCTGAAGACTCCGGGGGACACGCAGGGGCTGGTGCCTGGTGCGTGGGGGTCTAGGGCCCGGGACGCGCCGTGCAGCCTGGCGGGGGCGGCGGAAGCCGCTGGGAGGTGAGAGGGCAGGCAGGAAGCGGGAGCCCACCCGTGTGCTGGGCGTCGGAGAGGAGACGCTTCCCGCAGAGGGGCACGTGGGACTGCCCTCGGCAGAAGCCCCCGAACTCCGCCGCCGCGCCCCGCCCCCGGCCCGCGCTGGGGAAGTGGGGCTTGGAGTGCACGGCCCCGCCCGCGGCCCGGTGCAGCCCCCGCCTTCCCGGGCACGCGCGCCACCTGTCCGCGCCCCCTCCTCGCCGTGTCCTGGGATGGCTGGAGTAGGCGGTTTAAAATAAAGACTTTAGTTTTTTGTTGTTGTTGTTAAGGAACCCAGAACACAAGCTAAAGAAATGTCACATGGCTCTTTTTTTATTAAGTAAGCAAAAATAAATTCTGGAAGATTCGAAAGTGGAAACCAAAAATGTGCATTAACCTTTTAATCAAAGTGTCTTCACACCCACCTACCTTCCCTAAATGTGACTCCTAGGCCTGTTCTAAAAAAGCAGATAAGTATCATGGACCTGGAAACGGAAGGGAGATTACTTAGAGGAAACAAGTCCAGGGGGAGGAGTGACTTACCTGGGCTCATTTGTTCATTTATGGAGCACCCACTAGGTGCCAGGCACTACGCTTTTCTGTTCAGAACCTGTAGGAGAAGATGCTGAAACACTGGAAGGAGGTCATCTGCTGGGTTGGCTGGATGCTCCATACATCCATGGAAGGACAAACCGAGGAACTGTCACTTACATACTATCTACAGAGTGTTTTTCTGCAAACATATCTTTTTGTTCTTTACAAAAATCGTGGGACAAAGCTTTGTCATCCCCATTTAACTGGTGAGGAAGCTGAGACTCAAAGAAAGTGATTTCACCCAAGCCTGACTGCTGCTGAGTGGACAGGGCCTTCTGACCCTGCTAAACCACCTCTTGCAGGAGACAGAATGTGAACCCAGGCTCCTGGCTCTGACATATGGGGTTTCGTTTCCTTTACCCTACGGTCTCCCTTCACCAGTTTGCTCCTAATTGGATTCTCTGAGCATTCTCTCAGGTGAATGTATATCATCATAAATCACGCGTTCAGTCAATGTCTTCTGAGTGCTTGCTGTGGACCTGGCTTAGTGCCAGGAACGCACAGTCCCAGTGCCCCCTGGAACTCAAACTCTGAAAACAGAGAAGAGAATGGAAAGGGTATGGGAAATCCAGGGCCACTTGGGAGTAAAGGAGGGAAGAGTAGCAGAGCTTCAGAGCCTAGTTCACAGATGCCCCCAGGCTCCAGGATTTCACAGACCAAAGTATGGGGGATTTGCAAAGGATGGTCAACTTTTGATTTTTGCTACATTGGTGACATGTCATCTACATCGTATTTTACAAAACAGTATTAACAGCAAAATTTTTTGAAAAGTAGTAACAGTATATCTCATTCTCTGAAGAAAGGAAACACAGTTGGCACCTGTATAGTGACACACACACACATTTTATTGACCTTTGTTTTATTTTGCCACAGACCAGTTTTTATACTGGTTCTACCATAAACTAGTAGAACCTAAAGGCTTCTTGGAAGAAGAGGTGTTTAAGTAGGAATTATCTTGTATTAATAGGATTTGGAGCTGGTGGGGAAAGATGACAGATTAGGGAAAGAAAGTGTCTGGTTTACTTTGTTTTCTTAACGAAATAGCCCCCTGTCCTCCAAATTATTTTGATAAAAATCCTAGGAGTCTCAGCTGACTTCCAGCCTTAGGGCCTCTGCATCTGCTGATTTCTTTGAGGAACTCCCTCCCCAGAGCCCGTAGCTGGTTCCTTCATGTTAAGGGCCCAGATACAATGTCACCTGCCCAGAGACATCTAGATGCCCAATTTGGAGTAGCCAACCTTCCTAGTCATCATGTCGCTGCTCTGTTTTGTTTCTTTATTCACAGCTCTTATCAGTATCTGAGATTATCTCGTTTGTATGTGTCCTCATTCATCTCAGCCTCCTCACTCAAGACCTGTATCTTACAAGAGCAGGCATCTTGCCTGTGGTGCTTATTTTCATATGCCCAGAGCCCAGCACGGGGCCTGCCAGTTTGTAGGTGTAGGACTGAACTATCATCTGTGATATAGTCAAGAGTGGACATCAGGGAGAAAACAATCCCACCTTCCCTTCAGCAATCAGGAACAGGCCTCTTCTGCATGAGCCCCTGACCCCCCTAGTGTGCCACACTGCCCATGACCTTCCTTAAAGCTCCCGGGTAGAGATCAGCCAACTTAAACACAGGAGAACACTAGCTTTCTCCCTCTTGTGGGCTAAGATCCCTTGGGTATGCAAATGAGGCCAGAGGACTCCTTCGTTAAGGCACGGTTGGTGTGGAGGCGGTAGACTCCCCCTTCAGCATTTTCTAAGAAGAAACCATTGTCTCCTGTGTATGTCTGAGATCATTCATTTCATTTCTCCAGTCTCAGGAGCACCTGCCACGGCTTTTTAGCCCCTACAGCCAGGTGAGGCAATGCTGGAGAAAGCTGACGACTCTGAGTGCCCTCTGACTTGGATGTTCAATGCCAGCGAGGATTCTGGCAACTGCCATCTGGGGCAGTGATTGTGTAATGTGCATGCTTAGTGAACAGCAGGGATGAGGCTGGGTTCAGGACGCTTTGTGATGTTGTGTGGCACACGGACTGAAGGCAGGCACGGGCCAGGCCTCTTTGACTCTGTGATCTTGGGTACATAATCTCCGTCTCTGGGCCTCAGTTTCCCCATCTACACAACAAGGGACTTGGGCAGGAAGATTTCAGATATCTCCTTTGTTCTGTGCCTGTGTGTGTGAGAGAGATTTAGAAACAAAATTTCAATGAAGCTACACTTTGATAAAAGATGTACAAACCCTCACCTGTCACCTGACACGAACAATGCCAGCTCCTGTTTACTGACCCCCAGGTGCATGCCAAGTGCTTTGCTCACATTGTCCTGAACTCCCACAATCCCAGGCAGGGAAGAGATAATCCCCATTTTGCAGCCACAGAAGCCAAGGCTTCTCTGGAGATTTTAGATGGCTTGCCCAGGCCACACTGCTACTGAAAGGCAGCACCAGGATTTCATTTTAGCCCTGTGCTTGCTGCTGGGCCACACAGTATCATTAAACTCCATCATGAGACAACTTTTAAATGAATGAGGCCAAGATAAAACCACGACCAGATAATCTCTCCACAGCCTCCCCATGGGACCGAGACCCTCACTTGGGATACTAACTGGGCATCTCAGCTTAGATGCTGTCAGTCAAGGTGGCCCACGTCATGGCCTTCTCTCTTGACCACCCCAGGCCTGCACCTGCATCCTGGCAGCCTCTCCTCTCAGTGGCTTTCCATTCCTCTTAGGGGTAGTAACATCATTCCAGGCCTAAAGAGTTGAGTTCAAGCCTCTGGCATAGCCTCATGGTGTGACGTTGAGCAAGCCCCTGACCTTCTGAGGGCTTTGGCTTCCTAGTGCAGGAAATGACAGAGGAATAACGCCTGTTCCGCTTGCCTGTCCCTGCAGGGCCAAACCAGATCAGAGGTGTGGTTGTCTCCTGCTTCCAAATTTGTTCCTCACTTCTATCCCTCCACCCACTCCATGGAAAATCAACAATGTCATCAGCAACCTTCTATCCCAGAAGTAGGGGAGCCTGGTGATGAAGCACACTGGCCGATCAGCTCACTGACATGGGCAAATTACGTAGCCTCTCAGTTTCCTCATCTGTAAAGTCGGCATCGTAATAACAGTATCTGCCTCAGAGGGTTGTGGTGAAGGGGTAAGTGAATCCACACAGAGGGTACCCGGCGCACAGCAAACACTCAGTAAATACCAGCATCCGTGACCATCCCTCCTTGAAGCCCCCACTACTTAGCTCTGACTGCCCATCTCCAGGTCCTTCTCTTCCTCTGTCCCTCCCATTCCCTCCTTTCTGATCGCTCTGCATGCCACTAGGGCAGTCTCCTCCACTCCAGTAGCCGTTAAGTAACATGAAGATGGAAGGGACACCTAGTATCTCTCCCCTACCCCGGCCTTTCTCCAAGGCCCAGAACTGCCTCTTGGGCTTGTCCGCCTTGCTGGTGGGACCCTCCCCAGGCCCCAGTATGTTCATGGCTGACTCACTGCCTTCCCTCCCAGGTGCCCCTTCCCTCATCGCTGTATTTACAGCCTCAGCCTCTCCCTGGCTGCCTGAGCCAGAGCCCTAGTGCACTGACCTGGTGAATTTGTCTCCGAAATGACCTTACCGTCATACTGAGCTCGAACAGACCTGGGTTTGAGTCCCGCACGGCCATGTGGCACAGTGAAACCTTGAACAAGTCACTTCCTCTCTCCGAGCTGGCTCGCATCTCTCTAAAATGCACACAGTGGGAGCACCCTCCAGCAGTGAACACTCATCTTTTGATCCATCTGCAAGTATACGAAGCCCCTTCCTATGTTTGGTGAATCCCTGTCCCTTTTGGGATTTGCCCAAGCAAAGAAGGCTTCTCTCCACAGAGCCTGAAGGCCAGACCCCGACCCGACCTCCCTCTTGGCTTCCGACTTACTGTCATCATTATAACCACACAAACCGTTCACAAGGCTTCCTCTGCATTGCCCAGAAGTACCCTGCGTCTGGACAATTAGCATGCGAAGGAATTGGAAATGATTATTTATTTATAGGTGTGAGCCCCTGCACCCAGCCAGGAATGATTTTTTTAATCAATATATAGACATATGTTTTGGCGGCCAACATTCAACCCACTATACTTAAAAATCTTCTGTGGTAATAAAATAGTATAACACCTACCCCTCTGTG